GCCTTAATGAGCAGCGTACAAACCATGAAAACCTGGGCGAGCCCATTGTTATAGATGGAGGGTGGTCATAATGTAATGGTTCTTCAGTATATATATATATATATATTGAATTATAGGATAACAATTGAAATATTTGCAAATCAATTTTATAAAACAATGAACTAAGTATTGGGATGATCCCCACTACAGGTATTTTTGGAAACTATAAATCAAAATTTTTATTAAATAATAACTTAAACTTCTATAAAATATAACTAATATTTGAAGCGAAATATAACCATTTCAATTCTTAACTTATGGAACATAAATAATATAAAATGGCCTTCTGGAAAATAAATATTTTCTCTAAATATATAGTTGAATATCAACTTTTTTGATACATGATGTATTTGGTTTATACAGGGTGCAAAGATCTCCCCACTGTAAAATGACACTCACAATGTTTTTTTTTTCCTTCCAAAAAGTTGCTGGGTTTCCTTTCGATCAAATTCTTTCTATCAAACAGCAAAAAAGAATTCTTCTAACAAAATTGAAAATTTTTTTTCTCGGCAAACTTTTTGACCAGAGCACACAACTCCGATATCTAGGTCCATAAAAAGAGGAGCGAAAGTTATTTTTCACCTCTACAAGGTAAGGTAACGGAATTTTTCAGGGTATTAGAAACTCCTTCTAAAAATAAAATGTAGCATTGCTATAACTCCATGAAATAGGGGAGTATTTTTGCTAATTTATGAGAGCGAAATAGAAAGTTTTAAAATAATGTGTCTGGTTTTAGCTGATTGATTATTGGCTTATTGTTGTTTCCTCTCTTACATTACGAACCATACAAAATTGCAATAGAGAGTTGCAATGCTTGCAGGATTTTTGCAATGCGTTAGGTTAATAGCAAATAACAACAGCAATTTCAATCTATAATTTTAGGCTTGTTGCAATGTGTACAGTTACCTTTAAGCTTATTACAAAATACTCAAAGAAGGATTCAATCAGCTTGAATTTACGCTAGACTTATTACAATGAACCTGAGCGAATCATTAGATTTTTTCAAAATTGAATGTTAGTAGGTGGCATGCAGACATGACAGTCCATTTTTTCTTCTCTCTACTCTGCAAATGAAGCCACGAATTAGTGTTTATTTAGAGTTTTTCTAATTAGTTCAAGACCGTGACGTGGTCATACGCGATCATGCTATTCTCCGTTCATGGCCTTCGGTATCATGTAAGAAAAATAGCCTTTCTGACTCCAGATGCCCAAGATCAAACAGATGTGATCTCGCATAACATCTCGTATTCGTAAGGACACGTGCGGGCTTGGGAAAGTGCTTCTGTCACTCTTCGCTGGTTTTGAATGGCTTAGTGGCGTTGGTTTCTTTCAATCATTAATAATATTATTTTCAGTTCTTATGGTTGAGATTTTCACTTATCTTAATCGTCCTGTTTTTCGGCATCTGACTGCATTTTTTGTGGAAGGGAAATTTTTTAAAACTTAATAAGTGCAATGGAAAATACCGATACGAAGGATTTCATAGGAAGCATTTCATAGACACTGGTTTACTTTAAACTTATTCTTTTTACCTGAATTATTTTTAAGAAGCCTTCAGTTCACTCGGTACATTTTAATTAAGGCAATTTAAATAATTTGAACTCTCTAGATCAGCAATTAATCAACAGTATTTTGTGGAACTCTAGAATTCCAAAGGGAATTCCAATTCTAGAATACACTGGGATTCCGAGAATTATGACTTATTTTTCAACAAGCTCTTATTTTCAAAACTTGTAATAAATTGAAATCCAAATAATTATTATTTATTTAATATTTTGGTTAGTTTCATGAAATTATTCAATTACAATGCTCAGAAGGAAGATTAACAAAAATTGTTTCTTTATAATAACAGTACAATGAATGAAATATGTAAAGAATACGTATCCATGAAAAATTGTATTAATCCTTCGCAACGAATGAAATTAACCAAAGGCAGATATTAAGAAGTATGTTTTTCTGATGGACGCTTCTTGTTCTCAACTCTAATTCNACGACCTCTTGGATAGGGGCCCAGCGCCCTACCGACCAGGCTATCCCGGCCCTTAGAAGGAAGATTAACAAAAATTGTTTCTTTATAATAACAGTATAATGAATGAAATATATAAAGAATACGTATCGATGAAAAATTGTATTAATCCTTCGCAACGAAAGAAATTAACCAAAGGCAGATATTAAGAAGTATGTTTTTCTGATGGACGCTTCTTGTTCTCAACTCTAATTCTGTCCATTTTCCGTTTTATTTTAACCACAACCATCATTCAGCCCATTCATTTTCAACTTATCTCTGGCATAAAACTCAATTTTATGACTGATATTTATAAAACGATAGGACGAAAAAAAATTCATTCATTAAATATTTTTAAAACAGTTATGGAATTTTAACAATCACATATTTTTGAAATAATTAACAGGTTTTCGTTAGTTGATATCATACCTTAATGCTCATGGAATTTATTCATTGCGCATCGGTTTTCAGCTAAAAGTAGGTCGATCATTTAAAATTACACAACCGAAATATTTGAGAACATGACTCTAGATATTCGTAAAGTAGTCGAAATTTCGATTGCTTATAAATTTTACTTGGCGATAAATGACGATGTGTACAGTGCGATGAAAAAAAATGCACCACCCTGAATAACTTTTGATCTAATGATTGGATTTACACGTTCTAGGACTCATTCTTAATGGCTTGCGGAGGTGACCTTAAACTTGCTAATTAATAAGTGCCGACGATATTTTAAATTACGAAATCAGAAACAGAAACGTACTTTCTCTTAATAAACATGCCTTTTTTCGACGGATTCGGATTTCTGAGCCCCAAATTTTAAAACTATAGAATGGGAAATATGGTCCCAATTGTTTAGTCGGGACTTCTTAAAAATAGTTCAGGAGTTTGGTCAGAAATAGTTTGGAGCGCCCTCTTGATCAAACTATGGGGACCATATTTACCAGATTGCGGATACTAATTATATTTTGGGGTGAGAATCCGACCATTAGATCAAAAGTTATTCAGGGTGGTCCGTCTTTTATTCGTGATTTGTACTTATAGTGTTTAATTTATCATTGTACTGTCAGATAAAATTTAAGTTCCCTAACGATTCGAAAAGTGATCGGATTTTTGATTGACGATAAACTCTATCTGGTAATAAAATAGCGACAAACTCTGATTACAGTTATCTGAAAACTACTGAAATATGTTTGTCCATCAGACACAAAAGTGATTCTGAAATATGAGCTTCTATTAAGTTAGTTAGGAGTCAAAATTTTGGTTTCAAGAATCTAACGTTACATAGCGAGTTCTTAAAACCTTCACATAAAATAACATAAAGTAACATAATAATAATGAAAAGTATCAGTTTTGCTAATCATTTATAAGTCAATTGATTGTAAATTTAGGAAATATTCTAGAAGAAAAAATATGAAAAGTTTTATTTTTCAAAATTCTCACATAAACTTGCTTTCTAAGTAGCACGAACAACTGTATTTGTTAAATGTTATAGTCACTATGAACTGAAATGTGAGTTTTCAGCCATTTTTTTAATATTGGCTTTAAAATAGAAACAAAAATGGCACTATTGTATAAATGCATTTATAGAATCTCTATTAATATTTTAGTTTCGGTATTAAATTACAAATGTTTTAGAGTGAAATCATTTAAAACTAACTTTACATTAAAATTTTCTGCCTTTTTTTTCATTTCCAAATAGTGTGTATAACTTAATGAGTAAAATGCTGCATAGCCTTTGAAATAACTTTTGCATAATTTTCTAGACTATTTTATTTTCAAAATAAATTTTAAAACTGGAACAAATACTATATTTTATCTATAAATCTAGCAAAGTTTGTACCTATCTATACCTTACTCTTTGGCTCTTTCAATTTTTTTTTCTTAAAGTAAACACTTTCTGAATTCTTCTCCAAAAAATAAACGATAGAAAAAAAAACACTTCCCTACTTTTTAGCTCTAAAAGCATTCTTTTAAAGTAAGGCATTTCTTACCTTTTTGTTTATCGAAAGCGGCGTAAATTTTGGCGCAAGTTCCAACGCCTATAAGCTCCTGCAGCTCAAATCTACTCCCTGGAGTGGGCAACTCTTCCAGGTGCATAAACTGACTGACTGGGTCCATGGATTTCCTCCTCGTGGAACAAGAAGATTCTTTCGGATCTTGAAGCATCTTTTGGAAGAAAGTATTCCACTCTGGAATCAAATTTACAGTTCCTGGGGACACTTGAGTATTAAATCAGTTCTGGAACTAAACTCCCTCTGTTTGCCTTTGTTTCTTATTCTCTTTCTTTTTTTCGCTCCTTCAGAGTTGAAAAGGTTTTAAGGATAAATTAAGTCCATACAAAAATCAGCAATGTCGTTTATATGAAGTTAATTGCATGCCAAAGACGGCGGAAGAATTGTTTACGGCTTTTGTATAATTAATTGAATGCCAGCAGACAGACTGGCTCCTGTTAATGATTCGCTGATCATTCGCACTAATTAGACGCTTGGATTGTGTTTCCACCTGAGGGAGATCTGATGATTGGGTGAGGAGAGGTCATTTCTCGGTGCACTTTCACTCCCAGGAGCCCTTGTTTTGCAAGCACGCGGAGCTGTCGGATTATTCCAATTGGTGATACAATTAGGTCCAAACTATGGCTTCTTCTTTTCTCTCCTTCTATGGATTAGGGACGGTTCACAAATGGCTTCATTTGAATTTATATGGATCATTATCATAAGCTTCGATCAGAAAAAAACTATTTTTACATTAAGAACTATTTGAAACAAGAAGGATATGGATGAGGAACGTGGAAAGCTTGGCAGGTTTTTTGCAAAATTTTTGTCATTAATTTTTCACATAATTTTTTTTAACTTATGGAATAAACTATCCTTTTTATTTTATTATTTAACTGACGTTTTACAGCCTATTTCGGGTTTACTACTATCAATGTTCAACTCCGTATCATTGTAATTTTGAACCGAATCCCAAAGACAAGCATTTCTTGGATCAAGTATTGGGACAAGCTAGCCCGTTCATTTATTTATCGCTCAAGAAACGGAATAGTGTATGCATTTCTTTCGTATAATGTATGAGAACCAAGGGAAAGATGAGAAAAAAAGGAATAAAAAATCATAAAAAAAAACTATGATTTAAATTTCATGGGATTTTTTGCAACGCTATTTAATGTAAAAAGCATAAAAGTGATATTCTGAAAATTTACAAAGGCAATTCTAAATTTCAAATTAGTTGGAAGATACTTTAGGAATTAAACTATATAAAATATTGAATTAAAAGACATCCCCCTACAAAGACAAGGCTTAACTTTTCATTGAGGCTAATTGAAAAGGCATGTCTAGACGGAAATAATTCACTCTTAAATTAAATGTTGGTGATCGACTGGTGTTTCTTCCCATGCTCATTGCAGCCTAACAGCTTTATATTTCAGTTCCGTTTTGCCAACCTGAAAAATATTTTTTAGTTGACATACATTAGAGTTTTATGTAATATAGATAAATTGCCTCTTTACATATCCTCAGCTCGTAAATGTTAGTTGCATTAGCTTTGAAACGCCTTGAATAATTTAATTTAATGTTAATAACACAATACTCAACATCCTTAATATATGTTAGAGGCTTACATTGTTTTACAACTCAGTATCTCAGAAACGCTGTTTATTCTGTGAAAAGCACATCATCACGAAATGCTAGACACATTTAATTTTACATAATAATTCTAGACACAAACACCAAACAATATAAATCTTGAGAGAAAAAATAAATGAATATAAATAAATGAATATAAATGGTTTTATGCTTTTTTTTCACTTCATAAACTATTTCGAGCTTTAAAATTTGTATTTTCCAGTATATATAACTTATAGAAAGCGTTATTAACGGTGCTTTTTTTAAAAAAATGCTTTTACAGTTTGGTGGATTACACGGACTCTGCTATTTATAAACATCGACCGATAATTGTTTTAAATTTTCTGCTCATGGGGAAAGAAACATTTAGTTGTAAATGACTTTCAGGACGGTAATTTTTTAAAATTATTTGGATTAATACGAGCTGGCTACTGAAGAATGAAGGATTAGCTGCTCTATGAGATAAGATTAAATTATTTTTCTGCAATACACTGATGCATGATACTTCAATACAACAGAATACTGAAGAAATTAGACAAGATCGATATCAGGATGATTAAATTACATTTGTCTGTTAGACAAGACAAGAAATTATGCCAAATCTGTTCACTGTGAAAGTCAGTTAAGACGGGAGTTTAACGGCAGATAACGAAATTCATATTGCCTGCCGTTCAACTACTGTCTTAACTGACTTTTATAGTAAGCAGATTTGGTATGATCGGCGAAACATCAATGTCAGGAGATAACGTATATGTTACTGTGAATGCCCGAAATCAAGCGAATGTCGACTTTCACCGGTTAATGTCAACAATCACATAGTCGCTTCGGTGAATGTCCGAAATGATTGTTATATCCGATTTGATATTAATTTATTTGTCGATATTATTGCATTTATTCGTTATTTTGATATCTGCTGAGGATAGATTAATGAATAATATGAGTGTTCGGAGTATCGGTTAAATTCATACTGGGAAGTGGCACTTAAACTTAAGAAAATATTGATGTAAGGCATACCTAGTAAATGTATAGCTGGCAGTGGCACTTTACTAGACCTAGTATAGATTTCGGACATTTACCTCAGCGACAATGTGATTGTCAACATTCACCGGTGGAAGTCAACAACCACCTATTTCGGTCATTCACAATAACATATATATGTGTAATTTCAATAGTTAAAAAATTAGAAATTATCTCATTCTGTTTTAAAGTCCTATACTCGTTGTGGATGAATGGAAATGAAGTTGCAGACGATTGTCAAGAAATAGGAAGTAATTGATTATTGTTTCGATTATATAGCGTATCGATGCTGCGGTGACTTAGAGTGAGAATTTCGGGGTTTACACTCCATGCAACGCAAACGCGGGTTAATTCCATCAAAAAGTTCTCCACGAAGGCAATGTTCGATCCTTGAGGTCTCTTGTCTTCTGAGTAGGGTTCCAAATTTCATGTTTGTGGTGATGAACATTGATTGTCGTAAGTCCAAAAAAGGATGGGCTGTTCTACATCAGGGATAGAATGAAATAAAAAATGCTATAATGCATAAAATATTCATTCCAAAATCATATTGATTGCACATGAATTATGAAATAGACCATGAAAATGGTTCAGAGAAAAATTTACAGTAATAAAATTCGAAACATGAAATCAAATGATTTTTGGAATATAGACCTCAAAACAGGAAAAAATAATTACAGTGAGTGGACTTCAAAACATAAAAGCAGAGAAGTTATAAAAATAGACTTTAAACCAGAAAATAAATTTAAATTGTTAAAACTAATCGAAATAAACCTCAAAATCAAAAAAAAAAGATTTCTAAATAAGAAGATGGATTAAAATAGACCTCAAAAGTTATTATTTTGACCCTCTGTTTCAAAGCAAGAAATTAAATGATTAATTGAAATAGACTTTGAAAAGTTATGGATATAAACATAAAAATAAATAATCAATGAAACAGAACCTTCAAAAAAGTCTAATTCTTGGAAATAAACAGAAACTAAGAGGAACTAAGGTCTTTCTTGATTATTTCTCTTAACGTATAATGCGATCGAAATATTTAGAATAGAAAAAGAATAAATATCTTTCTTTATTAATATCCATAGCATAATATGTGATCGAAATCTTGTGAAAAGAAGAAGAACAAAGATCTTTCTTCGTTATTATCCATAGCATAAAATGTCATTGAAATCTTGTGAAAAGAAAACGAAGAAATGAGGAACAAAGATCTTTCTTCGTTATTATCCTTAGCATAAAATGTGATTGAAATCTTGTGAAAAGAAGAAGAAGAAAAAATATCTTTCTTCGTAATTATCCTTTGCACAAAATGTGGTTTAAATCTTGCGAAAAGAAAAAAAGAGCAAAGATCGTTCTTTATTATTATCCTTAGCATGAAATGTGATTGAAATCATGTGAAAAGGAAAAAGAAGAACAAAGATCTTGCTTGATCTTAATTCATAACATAATATATAATGTGATCGAAGTCATATGAGTTGGAAAAAAAAGAGCTAAGATATTTCCTGAATATTATTCATAACTAATAAGGTAATCGAAATTTTATGAGAAGAAAGAGAAGAACTAAAATCTTTCATTTTTATTATCCATAGTATAAAATGTGATCGAAATCTTGTGAAAAGAAAAAGAAGGACAAAGTTATTTCTTGATTATTATTCATAGCATATAAAGTTATCGAAATCTTATCAGTAGAAATAGAAGAACAAAGATCTTCTTGATTATTATTCATTATATTTAATGTTATCGAAATTTTAAGGAATAAACGTAATTCTTGTGTATTATTTATTTTATATAATGTGATCGAAATCTTAAGAACAGTTATTTTCTTTAGGTTCCCCTTCCTTCAAGATTAAGTTCGGCGTCTTTCTTTGGCTTCTCCTAAAGAAATGAGAAACCCTTCAGGTTTAAACACGACTGAATCTCTCAGCCTTTTATTGTGAGTGAGGCCAAATATAAACTTCGCATATCTTTCCATCTCAAATGCTCTTCCCTTTTCTACATCGGCGGACTTGGAAAGATCACTGGTTCGAGATTTTATTTACTCTTGGAAATATAATTAAACGTTTGCTCCTTTCCAAGTTCCATGTCTGGAAATTCTCTTCGTTCTAAAGCGTTTCGCCAGTCAAGCACATTTTCTGTTTGTTTAGCATTTAAGACAATTGAAATATCAAAGAAGTTTTAATTATGATCATTAAAAGGCTTTATTTTGAATGGATTTTTATTTTAGAAAAAAGGATTTGATTTTCTGAAAAGAAATCTGTCAAGTTGAAATATGCATAGCATATTTCCTAACATTTAAGAACCAAATTATTATCCTATTTAATCCCTTTTTCTATAAATAAAATTCATAAAAATAATCACTAATACTTTTTTACCAAAACTCTGAATTGAGTGCAGAATAAAATCAATTTTTAGAAATTCCCTTTACACCTGCCTAACGTATTACTATAGAATTCGAGAATCATTATATGGTTGCCAATGTTTTGGATTCATTAAAATTCGTTATTCATTATATATTCGTTGTTCATTAAAATTCGTTATTCGTTATTATATTAAAATGCGTTATTATATTTGCTATTCGTTATTATTCATTATTCGTTAATATTCGTCATTCGTTATTATTAATTATTCGTTATTATCCGTTATTCGTTATTATTCGTTATTCGTTATTATTCGTTATTCGTAATTATTCGTATCGATTTTATTTATTATTATTCGTTATATCATTCATCATTATTCTTTAAAATTCGTTGTTCGTAATTATTCGTATCGATTTTATTTATTATTATTCGTTATATCATTCATCATTATTCCTTAAAATTCGTTGTTCGTAATTATTCGTCACGCATTCTTGTCCACCAACACTTTTGAATGCGTAAGGCTAAGAGAAAAGAGCATTGTTATTAAATTTAATCAATTAATAGCAAATACATGGATTTCTTAACTTTTTTTGG